TCCATTTCCCCTGGAAATTGCAGAGCGATCACTCTGGATATCCCCATTTTGCTTGGATTCTAACCCCCCTTGACTTACTGTAGGAAATGATCTCATCAAACACTACCCAGAACTTTCAGCGCGGTGGCTGACGATGGCCGAGAAGCCCCCCCTTCCCGCTCCCTCTCCTTCTCTGTCTAGTCTAAGAAGTACAGACTCTTTGAAGCTGTATAATTATGTGCTACTCTTTCGTAGTCTTACAGCTCAGACCCTACTTACAGAGTACCATTGAGAAGTGAGTAATGTTACAGTATGTGTGGTATATTGGATAACATAGGAGGGGGGGGGGGGGGGGGAGAGAGAGAGAGAGAAAAGTGAAAGGGGGCAGATATTTATTGTATGATTCATGGATTGGGGAGGGCGATAAAGATGAGAGAGAAAGAGACAAGCAAAAGAAAGAAAGGAATAGAAGAGAGACTCTTGTGAGAAAGGAGAGATAGACATGAATGATCTCGCTATCAATTAATTTCATACATTGTTTGTTCTTTTAAATCTATGATATTGCATACTTGAGATTACTGATCTTGAGCCAAGGCTAAAGGATCACCTAGCTCTCAAGCCCATGGTTAATGTGATTTTAACCTAGTCCCTACAGCTTATTCCCCTTGCTATCGGCTCTCACCCTTCTTCAGGAAACCCTGTCTTACGTTAACGCTAGCCCTCTTCTGGCCTACACCCCTCTCTATCCCTCCTGCACCCTTCTGCTTGCGTATGGATATCCTCTCAGAGCACAGAGCAGACAAGAGAGCTCAATTCGTCAGCTTCTGTTGTTGTCATGACGATCTGCGTAGCTAGCGAGGGTCCCCATGAATTGGCGGTGATTCGCAGTGATCGAGAACAAGCGAGGAGGGGACGACCGGCTCTTTCAAGGGCTTCTTAATGACACATTATTTCTTTCACTCCACCGCTGCGCTTATGCATAGAACCTGGCCTTGCCGACTTCTTTAAGATCTGCTCATACCAGAACTTGTTACCCTAGGAATAAAGAAAGTTTCCAGTTTGGGTTTCAAACACAGCAGACACTTTTTCAGTCTTCTCGTGGTCTCTCTCACTTCTAATCTTTAAACTAAAAAGCCTGTCTTGTTTTTTGCTTCATTACTGAATTTCCTCGGTGAACTAATGGCATTAGTGTGGATTTCTTATTAAACTCTTGTTCCCGTCTCGCCATAGGTTGTTAGCCAACTATTGAATTAATCATTTCAGCATTGTGGATATACTGCAAGTGAATTTTTTGGCAGATTCTCAGATACTTTAGGGCTTTTCTCAAAGTTTACACAAGGAAACACAAGAAAGACTTTGCTGCAGAGTTTAACTTTCTCTATTATTGGATGACAGCTAAGGTCTCATTTATTCAAGAAATCTGTGCACCAGGAGCTAAGGAACATCAGCATCAGTTCTGGAATTTAAGCCTTAGAATATATTCCTGGAGTTGAACTTTTGCGGGGATCCTTTAAAGGAATTATATTGTAGCAAGGAGAAGAGGTCTTCAGCTGTGAACTTTGTCGTCATACTATTCAGAAGGACTCTCACATCTCTCCATCTTGTGCTACTTCTATATTTTCCTCCATCTTATTATCTTGCCTATTATCAAACCTTTTATGGAGATAATTTTGACAGCTAGGAGGCTATCAATGTGCCACCATTATCCAAGTCAACTATTCTCTACTAGTTTGAAAACACCTTCTATTTATTAAATGGTCTAACAATCTGGTGATCTGGATATCCACTTGTAACTTCATAGGATACATAACACCATCCGATTGTGCTGTCCAAGCTTATAACTTGGATAATTATTTCATAACCTTCCTTATTTCTGGTATTTTACAGCAGACGTCAGAGGGATTATTGTTTGCTACTCGTGAAACTTTACAAGCATGTTACCATCATTTATGTTCAAGAAAAGATACTCATAGTGCAATATCTCTAACATAGCAACAATATATAATTGAAGCTACAACTTTGCATCAATTGAACTGTTATAGAGCTGGATTGCATTCTCTATCTCGGTGTATTTCTTCATAGACGAAATAGAAACAAAGAAAAATGGCGTCACATGCATTATTCATGTTTGTTGGTCGCATAAAACCAAAGCGATCCAAATCACAACACGCAAAGCAGGCCCCTCTTCGTAAGAAACCACTCCAGGTAGGTAGCCACTTTTCTGTAAGAGAACATTCTTATCATGTTAACACTCTCCACTCAGGTGTAGGAAATGGGTAGATGGTATGACTTATTTCCTTCGAAGCTTTGAGTGTCGCAGGGCAGCTGTACTATAGCCAGGGTGATAGTTCTGCTTTGTAGGTGCCGTGAGCATCGCCTAGGATGGATACATACCCGAATGTAGCTAATATTATATGGTGGAAACAACAAAGTTTTTTTCAAGGAAGACAAGAAATACATTCTCAAAAAGCAAGTGGTCTGTATCTACAGGTTATATAACTCTTTTAAAGGCATTAGACAAGTAATCTCTCTTGTGGCTCACCACTTAAATTTTTTTCACTTTAGTAGCAAAACATGTATCAAAGAAAAGTGGTCTTTGTACACATTAGATCTCTTCAGCAGGTTTCACTATTTTTCACTGTGTTCATGTGTGGTATCAAAATCATTACATGGACTTGTATTGTGGTTTTGTGGTTTTGTGGTGTTGTGGTTTAGTGGTTGGTAGTCTTGACTTGTAATCAGAAGGTCCTGGGTTCAAATCTAGGGCTGGTGCTACTCAACCAGAAGGCAGTTCATCTACAGTTACATCTCTCCACCAGGTGTAATAAATAGGTAGCTGATGAGGATTGAATGTTTGGAGCAATTCTCATTGGCTACCAAATAAAATCAAGGATAATGGTTTTCAAAATTATTTTAGTAATTTAATAGACATTGTTCAATATATACACACCACATAAACTGGATATTATTCAAAATGTTATTTGACTGTTGTTTTTCTCAACAATTAGCTGACCTGATGAAACCTGGAAATACAAAAACAAAACAATTATGAATCATATGGGCACTGGTCCAATTCCGCTATGCCATGGCATAGTGGGGGCCAGCCAAAACTAATTGAAAAGAAGAAGAAAACCAATAGGGAGGATAATTATGTCAAAAAGTACAAGTGTGCACCAGCAGAGTTCGTGTCACAGGGCTTTGTTGTAATTGTCAGTTTTAAGAATAAGGTTGTCCTCTCATTTGGCAATTTAAAACAATGTGCGAGAACATGGGGGTGTAACGTGACTTGAAATGTAATCAAAAATTTTCAAAAAGAAGTAGATATGTCAGTGTACTATATTTTTGATAGTAAAATTAGCTCACAATTGAAAATTGTCTGGTTCCTTATTTCATTTTTAATTTTCAAGTCAAAGAAAGATTTGTAAACTTAAGGTTGTTATTTAATGGTATACACTAGGCAGATATCTAAAGGGTTTGCATTTACAAAATTTACCTTGAGTTGACATTTTATGGCGTATTAGAAAAAGCTTTGAAAAATGATTAAATGATGGAAGTACACAAATAGTGTTTTGATTATTTGTTTTAATTTGTTTTATTAACTCTCCTATGTATTGGAAAAATCCCTTGATCAATTGTGGAATGATTATTTAAAAAATTTTATGTCATCACCATTCATTAAAAACAAGTTAATTTCCCATGAACCTAACCTAGTTCTTTCCTGCAGGCAAGATTAGATCTCTCTACAAACTCGTGAAGAACTTAAAATAGTTTGAAGGTTCTCACAGTTCTTGAAATAACTGCTCCAATGTGAACTGGGTCACATGATTCCTGGTGTCCAGAATGTACATATTGCTCATTAAAATGTGTGAATGTTTTCTTCAAGTTCATACAGCATTATAGAGATAGAACAAACTCAAAGTCCTTTAAGTCTAGCTTATTTTCCAGATTTAGGCCCGCTTTTTCTTTGTTAATTTCCATTTATTGTTCCTCAAAATGTTTAAGGACCATTTTTGTTTCTAAAGGAAAAAATAATTCTTTTCAAATTTGTCTCTATCTCTAAATTTGATATTCATTGAAATTTTGACTATTTTAAAGCTCTGTAACTTTAGTTGGCAATATTAAAAGATAATTACATGTTTATAATGAGAATACCAAATATGGTTTCATCATTTGATAGCCAAAAGGGCATTGAATTCTTTGATTTAACACAGAGTTAATGCCCTTCTGGCTGTTAGTGCACACAATATTATACCAGGATTAAAGTATCATGTTGGTCTAGAGATCCACACAATGAAATTTGAAGCTTTGAATATGCAATGACTTTGAGGAATTTGCAATTTCATTTTTCTTTCTAGATCTTTGCTCTTGACTAACACTGTGCTTCTTGAATAACCAATTTCTGTCTCTATCTGAAATATTAGGAGACAATTACAGTAACGTACAAGATAACTATGGTCGCAAGTAATATATCACTTTTGTTTGAGAGGGATCTCGATGGTCATTCCAAAATTGTTTATTGCTCTGTATGTTTGGGGCTCCTTGCTGGAATTATACATTTAAATTCAAATGTCAGCTCAAAATTCTTTTGTAGATAGATAATACAAGTGCAAGTACCAGAGGGCACCCTAAAGTTAGATAAAAAGAGACGTCTGAAAAGAAATTATTTTTGAATAGAAAACATTGTCAACTCCTTCCTTTACTGAACCACTTTTCTGTATTATGAATTGAAAAAAAAATGGTAATTCTACAATTCTTCTTGTCTAATGTATTGACAAATGAGAGCATTAATTTGTGTCAATTCAATGGCTTGCCATTTCAGAAACATGTCTTTCTAATTCATTTCAGATAAATGTCTCTTTGATGATATTAACTGTTACATAGTGCAAAGAATATTCCAGCAACATATATAGCATCCACCAATACATGTTGTTATTATAGTCTAAGAAATAGCTAGTGATGTGTGAAATATTGGAATTAATAATAAAACAAATTTAATCCTTTTGTTTTTTCTTTCATTACAGTCACAGAGGAGCCTACCCCATCTGGGTATCAAGCAGACGAACAAAAACAGAGTAAGTCAGCCAATAGCATTTATGCTTTCACAAAATGTGGTGTGGTGGAGGAAATTTATTTATTCAGAATTGTACATTTGTCTGTCGGTCTGTTTGTTTGTTTGTGCATCTGTATATGTCTGTGTGTTTGTCAATTCATCTGTTTGTATTTATCTGTATCTTTATAATTGATTGATTGATTGATTAATTGATTAATTGATTGATTGATTGATTAGTTGATTGATAATGTGACCCACCAGTAAGTTACCATTATAATAAGAGTGCAAATGACAAAAGGGTGGGGTGTTAATTTCGATTTCTATTTCAATTTTCAATTTATTTATGTTTCCAACAAAATATTACAAATCAATTATAAACAGTTACCGGTACAAACAATTTAGGAATACATATTGAAAATAGTGATTGGAGGTGATTTCCTCGTATTGATGTTATTAATTGCTCTTATATATATCACAATGATTAAGTAGGTTCGCTTTTTAAAACTAAAAATGTTACACACGTCACTGAAAAGTTTTGGAGCTCTGGTTTAAGAAAAGTATATAACATAATTCACAAAACAAATTTCTGGTGACTTATTGCGGTTTTGAGCTGAAGGGTCGCATATTTCATGACTGTATGATTTATCAATTGATTGGTGAATTGATTGACTATGTATCTATTCATTTGCCCACCTGTTAATGTATTGGTGTGCCTTGACTTGTTTGTTTGTTTTGTGTCTGATATGGATAGCTTGAATGAATAATTGATTATGTATGAGTGTGCTCATCAGTGGTTGTGCATGGTCATTTAGACTAACCCATCAAGGTAATTATGACTAATATCTAGGACAGGACCAAAACAGAAGGACTACCGAAAGTAGATCATCTTAAACAAGGTAAGACTGATGGTTTGAGTACTGCACAAGTTCAGCCCCTGAAGTACATCTTTCTTGCATTAACTGTTGAGAGACAAAAAGTTACTTCTTCTTTTGTATAACATTTTGCTGCTAAAGTGGCAATTAAAGGTTGGAGAGCAGCCAGCCACAAGGGCATCAATCTACTGAGTTAATTCCTGGGTTTTCTGGCTCACGTACAGAAAGTGATTTTTCCATGAAAGCGTTTTTGAGAGCATGGAGGTAAGTTGATGTCAAGAACAAGCAGGAGTAATTGAAAGCCAGAATGTGGTGAGATATGGTTGCTCAATGATGCTGCCACGACCTATTATTGCCACCTCCATCACCACAACATGTTACTACAGACACCGCAACCACTACTGCTTCTTCTACCATCATGACCACACGGTCTGTCCACTGATGCCTTCGGTCGAGAACAATATATGATCCAGGCACCTTGCTCCTTTAAACAGGTGGATAGCTGAGCTGGATACATTGCTAATGTTGAACAAAATAGAGCAAGATGTGGAACGGGAGATAAGGAACAGATTGAATGAGAGAGAGAGAGAGAGAGAGAGAGAGAGAGAGAGAGAGAGTGAGAGTGAGAGTGAGAGTGAGAGAGTGAGAGTGAGAGTGAGGGGAGGGGGGGGGGGGAGAAAGAGAGAGAGAGAGAGAGGTGGGGAACATAGAAATGTGAATATATACATGCAAACATAACTAAACAATATTTTATAACTCAAAGCAGACAGAACACACAGAATTATGTAAAGAAAGGATCAGGATGAGGAGTGAGATATATTTTAACGCCTAATACAGAGTCGACACCATTGGGATGAAAATCCCCTCATGTTTTCTCCACTAAACATGGACCTAGCCTCCGAAACCATAGATTCTGCTGGCTTTGGAGTACATTCATCTTCGCAAGCACTACGGAAAGATGGGTAGCCAGATGGACATTATTCTGAGCCTCTATTTCCTCCTTTCCTGTCAATAAACCTTAATGGTCGTGTCAGGACAAAAGTTATATCCCGAGGACAAAGGTGCTACCAGTTACTCATTCCTCTGGAAGGCATTTTTAAGTATCTCGGCGATTTCCTTGATTGATCCAAGTGTCCCGATAGGAAAGCATGGATATAACAAAGTCAATTATTTGATTAGTTTCAAGGCTTTCTTTTGCATTATACTACAGTTTTATGAATGTATTCCTCTTCTATTTGGCTTATTGGCGATTATTCAGTTGTGACTATTTTTTGTGATTTATGGGTGATTTATGTTGTCCTTGAAAAGATGAGAGAAGATAATTAAAATGTATATTATATTAAAGGAGATCAATGGATGTCACTGGAAAGAAGTTTTAAACTGATCGATTTTTAAAAAACATATAGATATTAGATAAAGTCTATTTGGTCTATATTCTAAAATTTGAAACCCGATGCTGGGTTTGAGGTTCCCCTAAAATCAAGTTTCACACCTGAGGTTAAAATGTTGTCTGAAAGTGTGTTGTTGTTGTTTTTTTTGGTTTTTTTTTTTTTGGGGGGGGGGGGGAGGGGCATGATTTTCCATAAGGTACCTGAATGAGTAGTATATGGGCATGTGGGCTTATTATGATAATGGATATATAGGATATAAAAATTAATTAATTATTTTAAAGAATTCTTTTCTTCTGATCCTCTGTTTCAGGGTAATGCTACAGAAATTTTTACAGAAACAATATTGTGAGTTCAATTTTAGCTTGAGACTCTTTGTTTGTCTCAAAACATTTAGAGTAGTTTAGGTAATCTAAAAAATAGCCTATGAGTCTAGAAATACAATTTCAAGAATTAGGGCAAGAATGATTACCAAGCTTGTGCCTCTCTCTCAGTGCTTCTAAGTAGGAAATGGTCTGCCCCTTCCCATGTTGTGCCCCCTGTTAATTCTGTGTATTTACATGAAAGACATCTTTTATCCTACATGTACATGTTTAATAAGAGAATTGAATTGAATAAAACACATCACTGATTTACTGATTAGGAGTCTAGATATTGATAGAAGACATCTTGATAAGTCTGTAAAGAAAAGAATTAGATTAATCCTTTGCCTACTGGAACAGGGTGCTCCCTGTTTTAAGCCTTTTGAAATGAGAGAATTCAGTAGTTAACAGGTTAAGAATATTATTTTAAAGTTTGTACCCCTCACTAATAAAAGAAAACTTGATCAAGATCTGACTTCCGGTGCCCTACATTAAATTTGCTTGGTGACACAAGGAGAATCTATATTTCGTGTTAGAAAATTTAATGAAATAAAACACACTTAGTAGTCCAGGGGGTCCTGTCTTATAAAGAGTTGCGATTAATTCAAATCAATTGCAAGTTTGCATGCAGTCTCCCATCTCTTATTTACATAGTTGTGATTGATATCAGTCACAAATAAGTTGTGATTAATGTCAACTTTTTATAAGAAGAGGCCTAGATATTGACAGAAGACATTACCCGGTAGACCTTAATTTGAAAGAAATCATGTAAGAATAATGGTTGAACCCTCTGGTACCCCATGCTGTCTCTGCTTGTTGATATGGAAATCATATTTGTTGTTCAGTCTCAATGAGACCTGAATAACAAGGAAATGAGTTGTCCGAGATCAAAGCAATTCAATCTAGGTATAGTTATGTTTTTGGCACATTTTCTGGATTTTATCAAGGTGCAAGTCTAGAGTACCTTTGAATAACTAGGATACTGGCTCATATTATGAAACATTTGTTCAGTTATGTACAGCTTATACTTTACTGATGGTTTTGTTGATATCACTTTATAATTTGAGTACCCGGTAGGTTTATTAAAAGTTGTTGGGTTGTATATTTCTTTACAATATTACGTACATTTTCAATGAAAAAAAATATCCCCTCTTATAGGTACAAATACATGTAAGCTCCATAATTTAACCTGTTGACTACTAAATTGTTTAATTCCCATAGGCTTAATACAGAAGCCTGAGGGTTCCAGTAGTCAATGGGCTAACTTATCAATTAGCTATGTAAACCAATCACTCTCCATCAAAGAAGGGGGTACAACTAGATACACCCATCTTGTTTTTATACAAACTTGTGGCATTAAAGGCTTAAGACTACAATAACAGTCTATGATATTTATGCTTAAGTATTAACTTACTGGAGACAGTTCTCTAAATGTTTTGACTCAGTTTTCTCAAATTGCACATTTCTTTTGTTTCCCACTCATGTCAGACTGTCCTGAAGCTGTCTTAGGTCAAACAGTTGCACTATTCTGCAGTGCTTTGTTAAAAGACTCATGAGGCCTGTGTGCTTTTTATAGATATCTCTCAAAACAATGTTACTTTCAATTCCGACCCTAAACAAAGGAAAGATATTCAAGAAATACACAGTGAAATATCAAACAATGCCTGTGTTCCCCTCGATCAGCTGTCCCCCCACAGACCTGTTGTAAGAATCAGTTACATTTCCTGTTGATATTTTCAAGATGTCTTCTGAAGTCTGTGTCCTGTTTCTTTGTCCATAATGCCTTTAAAGCCCCGCTGTACTACTTGTAGCTACTTGCTCCCTCTATATATAAAACAATGCCTAAATGGTGCCCATTGGTCCCCCATGATCCTCTTTTTCTTATGTTTATTTAGAGCTGAGTTGATGAGATTATAAACCCCTGTCACTGACCATGCTGGGTGGTCTAATCTCTTCTGGCCAAACTAGTACAGACAGGCTTTAATAGACAGCTAGGGCTCTGCTTTTGTTGTTTGGTCTGGACTGCAATTTTGTTTTGCCTATATCCATTGAGCCCTATGTGGAAATTCTGAAATTTTTGGGGTCCGGACCTAGACGTTGGGTGCCCATGTGTCCCGGAGGCCTGCTAGTGTCAAGCACTTTCTTGGATGATATGTATTCCATTGTGATGTCAACAAGAAAAATAAGTATGAACAAAGCGTTGTCAAGGCGTTTGTGATAATCATTGATAATGAATTGATAAGAATCCTAAATACCAGGAAGCTATTATGTTTTTTTTAAAGGTAAATGGTCATGGTGATGGTTATGATGATTATGATATTGCTTCTTTTATTAATCTGTCAAGATATATTTTCCAAGTTTGGAGGTCGATTGCGACACTTTTCAACACATCATTTCCTGCCACCCTATAGTACACTCTTGAAAATGTCCTTCCACTCCATGTGTTAATGTTCCCCGCCCAGTTAGTTCTTGGTTTCTCTCTTGGACTGGTACCTTCTACCTTTCCTTCAACTAATAAATATATAAAATACCAGGGGCTTCTTTTGTGCACCTGATAAAATATACATGTACATGTAGGTCCAAATCTTGAGGTACTGCTATTTGGACATCAAAACTTTCAAAGGTGTTTTCTTGTATAATTCTCTTGACTTTCAAACAATTGATGATGCAATTAATATTTTTGTTTATCGCTGTACTTTAGTCTCTGACTCACATGACGGAAGTTGACATAAGGTAGCACATTTCCCAACAAGCTGGGTATTAAACCTCTGTCAGTTAATATTGGAGAAATACCCCCAGGAAACTTTGGCTTCTCTCCAAATTATATACCTGCACAACTTGTGCCTCTCTTCCCTGTGTGTTTCAGAAATTGAAGATGAAAGATAATCCGTGAGGAGTTAATTGTTGTCTCTCTTCGTGAAAGGGGAGGTTGATAATGAAAAAGAATGGAAGTATATATCACGCTCAGCTTATACATGTGAAAGTGACTTTCAAAAAAAAAAATAACAATTTTTTTTTTACTCAAAGAGCCTCCTACATTTTGTATGTCTCTTTCTCTCTCTTTCTCTTTTTTTATCTACTTTTTCTACTATTCTCTGGCCCTAGTGTTTCCACACATGCACCCCTTGCCTGGGCTTCAGTGGGCTTCTTGTGAAGTGAGGATCTCAAAGACAAAGGGTGATAAGAAACGCCCCTTAATTCAAAGGAGGGCTCTGTAAGGTGAATGGCCAGTTCTGAACAAAAACTTTGGAATAATTCCAGAGAAAACAAAAGAAGAGGTGAGACAGGGTGAAGATTTGGTGAAACTTGATCAAATCATTGCTTCAGACAGCTCCTTAAGGGGAAAATTCGATATTTTCTACTCAGAGCCAAAAGGACATTAACTCTTACATATCTTAAACCAATGAACGAATGCCCTTTTAGCTCTCAGAATATGAAAGTCTTTTGAAGTCTTGGAGGAATGTATGACTCTTCATGTTCCTAATCCAGGGGGAGGTTCATTTAAACTTCATTTTTGAAATGATACTAGGCGTCTCTTCAGCTACGATCAAGGGGTCTTTCTGAGGACATCTTTGTGGCCTGGCAATGTAAGCTTGAGTCACTAGAAGGATCAACTAAATCAGCCCGTCTTAGTCACACGGCCATGATTGCCAGCAAAGTCGAAGACCTCTCTAGCTGGGCGGCCACGTGCCGTTGGCTTTCCACTTGATATAAGATGATGCATGTGGTATATGAGTAATCTATAATTTTTGCAAGAACATACCCCTTTTTTGGTTTTAAATAAGGGGGAACTTTCCTTGGCGTGTTTCCTTACTCATATATCCAGGCACCCACCTTGTTAATAATGAGTCAAGAAAATCGATTAGAGTTTGATGAAGTGGGAGGGTTGTAGGAAAATCATAAGATTTCCAAGGTTACTTATTATTATTATTTTTTGTTATTTTTAATGTTCTTGGAACTGTTTTGAAACCACGCAATTCAAGGAAATGCACAAATTTTGTGGGCAACTCTGGAAACAATTAAAATTACGAAGAGGAAGAGAAGGGATTCTTTGGGGTATTAAGTCATCAAGGGAAACTAAATTGCCTGAGGGCTGGATGAATCAGTTTAACTTTTTTTAAAGTTGGCCTATGAGTACTTTATTCTTCCTATAAGAAAAGTATCCTAAAATGAAATAAGAGGGATATATGGTAGCCTGCAGATTGCAGCAAAAACAAAATAACATTTTCAAGGTTCAAAAGAGTGTACTTGGCAATACTAACACATTATTTTCTGCAGCAGAAATCGAGACTGCATGTATATTATATTATATTTGTTCGGCAAACTTTTCCAATTTATTGGTGGCCTGCAAGAAGGCTAATACTGCTATTTACAAGCCTTTGCGGTCTTCTTGCGGCCAACTAATGATTTGATATTAATATTGGTAATCAACCCACGTCTATCTAAAAATTAAAAAGAGCAATAACTAAATTCAATTTGTACTTTCGGATGTGAACGTATGTTCATGTAATTTTTAACATACATATAATTATGCTTGACACAGTCTATACTCCACACTGTTTTCAATCAAGCCTTATAATGTTCAAAAGTAATTACTTTCAACTAGCTCATTAAAATTCACATTGAGCGAATTGCAAGTTGTAGAAAAATTAGTAGCAATTTCCTGGCTTGCATTGAGGATAAGATTTGGAAGTATTTATAGCTTGTCAAAGATCGATGAGGAAGTCAAGCGCGTAATCCAGCCTCGCATGCTTTACTCTCGCAAGTCTTGCATTACTATCGCTCTTGAAAGAGTCTGCTCAGCCCGTTATATGTTCTCCAATTAGCGGTCCCCGTCACCTGGCAACTTGTTGACAAGCGAGGGAGCTTTAATCCCTAGTTGACGATGATGCGTTGGCAGTGTGGTGGGATTATGTAGTATCGGTCTGGATTAGAAATAAGAAGATAATGGAATTGTTTAGATACACACAATTTTTGTAAATAGTTTTTTGGAGGTTGTATGGATGATATATTTGGAGGACATTTTATTTGTAGGATCTAATTTGTAGGCTATTCTTGATTCTTTAGTGACCTTAGCATAAATATGTGATATCATGTGAATATGATTTACAAAGAATGCTAGATTAACCCATTTTCGTTACTATGTTTCATCTGTTCTTTTGTTAGTCTTAGTGCTCAATTGGATAATATCTAAATGTGTGATGATGTAAAGGGTACTTAAAGTGAGCATTTCACAAACTGTCTCTTTACCAAATGCTTTAATGAAATTTCTCTTTTGAAGATATTGCAATGAGCTTGAAAATCAGAAAAGTTCACAGAATCATGCACAAAAGCACCAAAATAAAAATAAATTTAACCAGAGTTGGTGAATATCAAAATAAAGCTAATTGATATATTGTTCACATAATATGACTTACATCTAGCAAAAAATATTGTATGTGATGGGCAGAGAGTGAAAGAAAGAGGAGAGAAAGTTTATTGATTAGAAAGAAATTAGTGACATTAAAATGAAGAGAGAAGAATATTTTCTCCATTAGCATTGCCATATTTCAGCAATGTAAGAGCAGAATTACTCAAGAACTATAAGTTACAACTTATAACACAATTATGAAATTTGAACTAGCAAGATATCTGTCCTTTGAGCAGATATTATCTCACAAAATACTACTCATGATATTCTAGGTTAATATAGAACTTAATACATCTATATGTCACTATAACTTTACATAACTGTACATGAAATGATAATAACTGCATGAAATGGCAGTCATATTGTAAAACAATCTTTGAAGCAATTGTATACTTATTCTATCGTTCTTCTCATCTAATTATCAGTTCAAGTTACATTTGTTTTAGATTTTGGCAACGCTAATTGCTACTGTCGGCTTATGATATCTTACGGATTACAAAATCAGACGCTATTTCCTGGTTTGAAATCAAACTTGCCCATACTTAGTCCTTCTTCAGCTACCAGTATTAACCTTTAAACCAAAGAATCTTATTCAAAAATGCTTGTGAACGATGCAGAAACTAAAAACGCAGAATCATTTGGTCCTGATTAAACTGTCATTTAGAGCTTCTGTCTTAGTATTGATGATCCGAATCATAATTTTTGACATTGAATCCCCTGTGTCCTGCGCTGATTTTCGTCAACGATTTAGCAGCATTTCCTTTGATAGCCTAACCTTTTCCTCCTATCTCAACTCCTAATCGCTTGGGAGTGTTCACAAGATGGCGATTATCATTTTTTAAATCTTGCCTCTGCTTCTGTTTTGCTTGCAGATGTAAGCTATCTCTATGGGGCATTTGATATATCAGATGATCTATCTTTTGAGCAGTATCTGTTTTTAGTTTCAGATTTTCATGTTGATAAATAATGGGATAATGACAGTTGACTGTTGAAGGTTGGAAACTGAGATTGAATTTAATTTAAGTGAATTTGTGCATTATTCTCGTTTTGATTATTTCTCTACTAAGCCCTGTGGCAAGCTTATTATTTAGTTTATTAATGATCTTTTCAAATGCTTCTTTTAATGTGTAATTTGATGGAAAATCTATCATATCACTCTTATTGAATAGCCATTGTTTGTTGAAAATTATACATACTATTTATTCAAGTATTCAGGAAAACATTGTAAAATGTTTGGAAAATCAAGGAAAATCTGCACTATTATCACCAATCATATGCCATATTATGGGATTCCAATTTCAAGATGTAGTATCCAGAGAATGTTCTGTAGCAATGATGTCAAATTAGTCAGAAAATTCAATCAGTGAATTAAAATACCTTTATTAAAAGCCTCCCATGGACGTTGAGATTACAATCTTGATCTGTCTTCCTTCCTGGAAGGAATAGCCCCCTCTATGTCCATTTTACACCGTCATACCGGGGTCGTAGCTATTCTTGCTGTAATAAAATGTGAGTGCTGTGTCATGACATCCTGGGCTAGAAATGTACAGGATATGTTTAGAAAACAAGCAAATTAGAATCAAGATGGTGAGGGGAAAAGAGACTGAGAGGGGGGCAGGGTAGAGAGGAGACAAAAGAAAAATTGGAAAATATAGAAAAAGAAATACAGACATGTATGACAGAGAGGGAGAGAGCAGAAGATGGAGAGAGAGAGAGAGTGAGAGAGAGAGAGAAAGAAAGAAAGTAAGAGAGAGAGAGAGAAAGAGAGAGGGAATAAGAGGGAGGGGGTGAAAAGAGAGAGAGAGAGATAGGGGTGATGGGGAAAAAAGAGAAGGGAAATGTGCATGTGCAGTTAAATTCATATTTATATTTCTATTATAAGTACTTGTATGTAGGGTCCCGATTACAAGCAGTCTTTCTTCTCAGGGTCCTGGCCATTATTAATTTTTATGTTGTTGTTCCTTGATATAATTCTTCTATTGTATTGATGTTTTTGTATATATATATATATTTTATTTTTTTATTTTTTTATTTTTTTTTAATGGTCAATAAATGAAATGAAATAAAGTGAAAGAGGAGAGAAACAACAAGAAGGGAGATCTACTTGCAATTTTACACACAAAAAACAAAACAAAAAAAAAACACTCTAGTATGTCATAGGTATAAACACGGACTTAATATTTTTTGAGAATAGGAGATGTGACCATCTTCCCTTCTCCGACCCTCACCCAGATCCTCTCAAAGGTCTCTGATGTATTTTCAGTGTGTAAAAGCCCACTCTCTATAATCTGTTTTGGTCAGAGCGGATTCCAAATGGCAATGACGGCTTCCAAACTGCATTACACGGCTCACAGATCCTGCATATCAAGCATTCTTATGTTGAATCTACGTCAAGTCCTTCAAATTCTGAATACACTTATAATATATTTTTAGAGGAGCTTCACATTGCAGGATAGTAATAATGTGAAGATAAAATCTCTGTATCCTGCAAACGTGGGAGTATTGATGCATAATTATCATTATAAAGAGTCAAACAATTGTGCTGTCTACTGAAGATAGAAAGATACTTAGGTTGAAATTAATCAGATTTTGATTTGAAGATATACTCTTAATTGAACATAAGAATATTATGTAATAATACAAGGTTTGCACTCAGTTTTATTTGTGTGAACTGCCTTTAGTTGATTCCTTGAAAGTCTTTGTGATTGTGTCAAAAGCAGAAAGGGAAAGTACCATCTTTCTTCTTACG